TTCTTAAAATGAGGTCAAGCATGTTTCGAAAGGTAAATAATGCAGTAAATAATGCTTTTTTTGTTAGTTGTTAAACAGATATAAAAAAAAGTAAATAAAAAAAAAATATCTAAATATTATCTGCATGCTCTACTCTTTTGGTTTCGCGTGTGTACATAGCATTCCTTCATGAGCACATGCTGCAGGCCATTTGAACACAATCTTGTAATTCCAGCTGAATCTCCCTCTCTCTCTCTCTCTCTGCTCAGGCTCTGTCGTGAACTAAACTCTGCGGCAAAAAACTGGCAAATTCAGCATTGCAGATTTTGATTTCACTCTTAAAAGAACTCAAAAAACCAGATAGTAAAAGTATTACCTTATCATCATAACTTATCATAAAGATCTTAATAGTAAAGTCTGCAATGACAATATGAAGTGTGATTGCACATTAGTCTGAAGAGTTTATGATGTTTTTTTTAGTGTGTGCCTTATTTGTATCTGCAACATGGGATTTAAAGCTCTGTTAAAAGGATAGTCTATGTCTGTTTCCAACATTCCTCAAAATGTCATCTTCTGGGACATTTGAAGGGGCAGTTCACTCAAAAATGAAAATTCGGTCATCGTTTTCCAAAACTGTTTGAGTTTTATTAGACACAAAATAATATATTTTGAAGAATGTTGGAAACTTGTAACCATTGACTTCCGTGGTGCATTTATATATTGAAAATCAATGCATACCCATTTCCAACATTCCTCAAACTGTCATTGTTTGATCCACTTTAAGGGACAGTTCACCCAAAATGAAAAATCTGTCATCTTTTTCCAAACCTGCTTGAATTTCTTTTTCTTATTGGACACAAAAGAAGATATTTTGAAGAATGTTGGAAACCTGTAACCATGGACTTCCATGGTGTATTCATATACTGAAAATCAACGGATATCAATTTCCAACATTTCTCAAAATGGCTTCTTTTCTGTACCACTTATAGGGGTGGTTCACCCAAAAAGGAAATTTCTGTCCTCTTTTTTCCAAACCTGTTTGAGTCTCTTTTTCTTATTGGACAAAGAATAATATGTTTTGAAGAATGTTGGAAACCTGTAACCGCTGAGTTCCATTGTGTATTTTTTCCTACAATGAAAAACAATGGCAACCGGTTTCCAACATTTCTCAAAATATGATCATTTAAACCACTTAAAGGGATGGTTCACCCAAAAATGAAAATTATGTCTCCTTTTTCAAAACTGTTTCAGTTTCCTTTTCCTATTGGACACAAAATAATATATTTTGAAGAAAGTTGTAAGCTTGTAACCACTGATTTCCATGGTGTGTTTATATATTGAAAAACAATGGATACCAATTTCCAACATTCCTCAAAATGTCATCTTCTAAACCACTTAAAGGTATAGTTCACTCAAAAAGGAAAAATCTGACATCATTCTCCAAAACAGAGTTTCTTTTTCTTATTAAACACAAATTAATATATTTTAAAGAATGTTGGAAATCTGTAACCATTCACTTACCTGGTATATTCATACTATATAAATTGAAAATCAATGGAGAGGGATTTCCAACATTCCACAAAATGTTATTGTTTGAACCACTTAAAGGGACAGTTCACTCGAAACGGAAAACTCTGTCACCCTTTTCCAAAACTATTTCAGTTTCTTTTTCTTATTGGACACAAAAGAATATGTTTTGTAGAATTTTGGAAACCTGTAACCATTGACTTCCATAGTGTATTTTTTCCTACTATGAAAATCAATGGCTACCAGTATCTGACACTCCTCAAAATGTCATCTTCTGAAGCACTTAAAGGGACAGTTCACACAAAAAGGAAAAATCTGTCATCATTTTCCAAACCTGTTTGAGTTTCTTTTTCTTATTAGACACAAAATAATATGTTTCGAAGAATGTTGGAAACCTGTAACCATTGACTTCCATAGTGTATTTTCCTACTATGAAAATCAATGGCTAATAATTTCCAAACAAAAAATTTAATTTTTTTAACCTCTTAAAGCAGGGGTGCTCAACCCTGTTCCTGGAGATCTACCTTCCTACAGAGTTCAGCTCCAACCCTGATCAAACACACCTGAACCATATAATTAGTACCTGAACGGCACTGGGTAATTACAGACAGGTGTGTTTGATAAGAGTTGCACCTGAAATCTGCAGGAAGGTTGATCTCCAGGAACATGGTTGAGCACCTCTGTCTTAAAGGGATAGTTCACTCAAAATGAAAATGTACTCTATTTACTCATCCTCAGATGGTTCCAAACCTTTATGAGTTTCTTTATTTTGCTGAACATAAGAGAAGTTATTTTAAAGCTAGCTGAAAACCTGTAACCATTGTCTTCCAAAGTAGGGAAAACAAATGGAAGGCAGGTCTCCAGCTTTGTTCAAAATGTCTTTGTTTGTGTTCAACTAAAGAAAGAAACTCATAAAAGTTTGTGATAAGTAAATCGTGAGTAAATGATGACAGAACAGGGTTCAACGCTGACGACATTTTCTACTGGCCCGATTTGACCAGCGGTTCAGATTTTTACTTGCCCTGCCAAAATAAATAAATAAATAGAAAATAGCAATTTCTTAGCCACATATTTTAAATAATGTGTCAAAAATAATGTCTGTGAA